GGTTGCTCCCCATTTTCTGTGGCCGTTCGCGGTTCAGTACGCGGCGCATCAGATCAACCTTCAGCCCCGAGTCTCCTTGCCGGAGACCTCCCCTACTCTGCGGTGGTCGGGGAAGGTTGGCGATGCGTCTGCGTTTCGTGTCTGGGGATCTCGGGCTTTTGTCCGCGACTTGTCTGCGGACAAGCTGTCCCCCCGTGCTGTTCCCTGCGTCTTCCTTGGCTTCCCCCCTGACGCGCCTGGTTGGCAGTTTTACCACCCCACCTCGCGCCGTGTTCTGTCCTCTCAGGACGTCACGTTTGACGAGTCGGTTCCTTACTACCGTCTCTTCCCCTACCGCACTGCGCCCCACCCCCCGCCGCCGCTCTTCCTCGCGCCAGGTCCCCCCCAGGTAGACCCCCTTCCCCCTCAGGGTCCTGCCCCCTCAGGTGTGTCTCAGGTAGACGCAGTCGAGCCTGTCGAGGTAGCTGTTGACTCTGGTGCTGCTAGGGGTGCTGAGCCTGCGGGAGCGGGGCCTGGGGGTGCTGAGTCTGGGGGTGCTGAGTCTGGGGGTGCTGAGCCTGGGGGTGCGGAGCCTGAGGGTGCTGAGTCTGGGGGTGCTGAGCCTGGGGGTGCGGAGCCTGAGGGTGCTGGGCCTGCTCGTGTGGAGTCTGGCGGTACTGGGTCTGGAGGTCCCTCAGGTGCTTCGTCCCGGCGGGAGCTGCCCTCTCCACAGGAGCTGCGCGAGTGGTTTGCTCGGCGCTGGAGCCGTGCTGCTGGAGCTGGAGGTGCTGCTGGAGCTGGAGGTTCTGCTGCTACTGGGGGTGCTCCTTGTCCTGGAGCTGCTGGCGGTGCTGCTGGAGTCGGTGCTGCTGGAGGTGCTGGAGCTGTGGCTGTTGAGTCTTCCGGTGGTCCGGCTGGAGCTGGAGCTGCTGGGGGTGTTGGCGCTGGAGGTGCTGCTGGCGCTGGTGCTTCTGAGGGTGCTGGAGTTGGCGGTGCTGCAGCTGGGGGTGCTACTGGTGCTGGTGCTCCCACTGGGGGTGCTGGTGCTGTCCCTGCTGGCTCTGGAGGCGCTGCGCGGCTGCGGCCGTACTTCGTTCCGCTCCTTGAGCAGGTTCTTGGTCTCCCGCCTTCTACTGGTCCTGCTCCTTCCCTAGAGTGTCCGCCGCCTGTCCAGTCTGAGTCGCAGTTACAGCCCGCCTCCCCACTGCCTGCTCCTTCTCCCTACACTGGTCCTACTGGAGGTCTTACTGAGCGTCGTGAGCCTGCGTCTCGTCCTGCTTCGCCTGTTCGTGCTGCTCGCACTAGTCGTCGTGATCCGCGTCCGCGTCCTCCTGCGGTCCCAGGCACACACCAGATGGCGCTGCGTCCTTCCATTGCTCCACTGCGTGTCCCTTTGCCATCTCCTCCAGAGTCCTCTCTTCCTGCTCTTGCTGACCCGGAGTCTGACTCCCTTCGTGCTACCAGTCCTACTGTCACGCGTCTTCTGGCTACTGCTGTCACTGACCCTTCCTTTGAGTCCACTGCTGCGTCTACCTTAGTTGCTGAGCTTGTCGACTTTGCTGCTCGCTGTCGTCTAGACTACGCTGCTAGTCTTGTTGCTGAGTCTGAGTCTGTCTGTCCTCCGTCCGTCGGGGGTGAGTGTGCTCTTAGCACGGACGTCCTTGAGGACAGGCAGGAGGAGTTCCAGTGTTTTGCTGCTGCTTTGCCTCATATCGTGTCCATGCTGATTGCACCTGAGGGAGACCCGGATGCGCTAGACATCCCGACTCCTCGTTCGTACGCTGAGGCGATCGAGGGTCCCTACTCCTCACAGTGGCAGTCAGCCATGGACGCAGAGATGGCTTCCTGGAAGTCCACAGGCACCTACGTCGACGAGGTTCCCCCACCTGGGGCGAACATCGTCAGTGGCATGTGGATTTTCAGGGTGAAGCGGCCGCCGGGTTCTCCGCCTGTCTTCAAGGCACGTTACGTGGCTCGAGGCTTCAGTCAGCGGCAGGGAGTTGACTACTTTCAGACCTTCTCTCCCACCCCGAAGATGACCACTCTTCGGGTGCTGCTGCACATAGCCGCTCAGCGCGACTACGAGCTTCACTCTCTTGACTTCAGCACAGCTTTCTTGCAGGGCAGCCTGCACGAGGAGATCTGGCTGCGCCGCCCACCTGGCTTCACTGGGTCGTTTCCTCCTGGTACCCAGTGGAGCCTCCGGCGGCCAGTCTACGGTCTCCGCCAGGTGCCCCGTGAGTGGTACGACACACTGAGGACTACACTTGCAGCTCTTGGGTTTGCTCCTTCTACTGCCGACCCGTCGCTGTTTCTACGCACCGACACCTCTTTGCCGCCGTTCTACATCCTCGTGTACGTCGACCGCCAGAGGATTTCGTGTCCACAGCCTGTCCAGTCGCGGTCACAGTTACAGCCCGCCTCCCCCCTACCTGCTCCTTCTCCCTACACTGGTCCTACTGGAGGTCTTGCTGAGCGTCGTGAGCCTGCGTCTCGTCCTGCGTCGCCTGTTCGTGCTGCTCGCACTAGTGGTCGTGCTCCGCGTCCGCGTCCTCCTGCGGTCCCAGGCACACACCAGATGGCACTGCGCCCTTCCACTGCTCCTCTGCGTGTCCCGTTGCCGTCTCCTCCAGAGTCCTCTCTTCCTGTTCTCGCTGACCCGGAGTCTGACTCTCTTCGTGCTGCCAGTCCTACTGTCACGCGTCTCCTAGCCACTGTTGTCACTGACCCTTCCTTTGAGTCCACTGCTGCGTCTGCCTTAGTTGCTGAGCTTGTCGACTTTGCTGCTCGCTGTCGTCTAGACTACGCCGCTAGTCTCGTTGCAGAGTCTGAGTCTGTCTGTCCTCCGTCCGTCGGGGATGAGTGTGCTCTTAGCACGGACGTCCTTGAGGACAGGCAGGAGGAGTTCCACTGTTTTGCTGCTTCTTTGCCTCATCTCGTGTCCACGCTGATTGCCCCTGAGGGAGACCCGGATGCACCAGACATCCCGACTCCTCGATCGTACGCTGAGGCGATCGAGGGTCCCTACTCCTCACAGTGGCAGTCAGCCATGGACGCAGAGATGGCTTCCTGGAAGTCCACAGGCACCTACGTCGACGAGGTTCCCCCACCTGGGGCGAACATCGTCAGTGGCATGTGGATTTTCAGGGTGAAGCGGCCGCCGGGTTCTCCGCCTGTCTTCAAGGCACGTTACGTGGCTCGAGGCTTCAGTCAGCGGCAGGGAGTTGACTACTTTCAGACCTTCTCTCCCACCCCGAAGATGACCACTCTTTGGGTGCTGCTGCACATAGCCGCTCAGCGCGACTACGAGCTTCACTCTCTTGACTTCAGCACAGCTTTCTTGCAGGGCAGCCTGCACGAGGAGATCTGGCTGCGCCGCCCACCTGGCTTCACTGGGTCGTTTCCTCCTGGTACCCAGTGGAGCCTCCGGCGGCCAGTCTACGGTCTCCGCCAGGCGCCCCGTGAGTGGTACGACACACTGAGGACTACACTTGCGGCTCTTGGGTTTGCTCCTTCTACTGCCGACCCGTCGCTGTTTCTACGCACCGACACCTCTTTGCCGCCGTTCTACATTCTCGTGTACGTCGACCGCCAGAGGATTTCGTGTCCACAGCCTGTCCAGTCGCGGTCACAGTTACAGCCCGCCTCCCCCCTACCTGCTCCTTCTCCCTACACTGGTCCTACTGGAGGTCTTGCTGAGCGTCGTGAGCCTGCGTCTCGTCCTGCGTCGCCTGTTCGTGCTGCTCGCACTAGTGGTCGTGCTCCGCGTCCGCGTCCTCCTGCGGTCCCAGGCACACACCAGATGGCACTGCGCCCTTCCACTGCTCCTCTGCGTGTCCCGTTGCCATCTCCTCCAGAGTCCTCTCTTCCTGTTCTCGCTGACCCGGAGTCTGACTCTCTTCGTGCTGCCAGTCCTACTGTCACGCGTCTCCTAGCCACTGTTGTCACTGACCCTTCCTTTGAGTCCACTGCTGCGTCTGCCTTAGTTGCTGAGCTTGTCGACTTTGCTGCTCGCTGTCGTCTAGACTACGCCGCTAGTCTCGTTGCTGAGTCTGAGTCTGTCTGTCCTCCCTCCGTCGGGGATGAGTGTGCTCTTAGCACGGACGTCCTTGAGGACAGGCAGGAGGAGTTCCACTGTTTTGCTGCTGCTTTGCCTCATCTCGTGTCCACGCTGATTGCCCCTGAGGGAGACCCGGATGCACCAGACATCCCGACTCCTCGATCGTACGCTGAGGCGATCGAGGGTCCCTACTCCTCACAGTGGCAGTCAGCCATGGACGCAGAGATGGCTTCCTGGAAGTCCACAGGCACCTACGTCGCCGAGGTTCCTCCACCTGGGGCGAACATCGTCAGTGGCATGTGGATTTTCAGGGTGAAGCTGTCACGAGACGAACTTAGCTAGGAACGGGTTTAACTAAGGGCCTAGGCTTAGTAGCCTAGGCCAAGCGGGTGTCGAGGGAGTTGTGCCAAGAGAGAATCGAGAATGTGTGTCTTCACTATAGGTTTGCAAGAACATATAGCAAAGAAACAAAGAGGTGCACCACCACAACAAAGAAACATAACTACACTAAAGCTAAAGCTACAGGCAGTTATAAACATATATAAATATATATCGCGACACACCCCCTTAACTGCCTGTAGCACATAGCTAGAGTAAGTCACACCCCCTGAAGGGGCAGGTGCGGTGGGAGACGGCAGAGGGGTACGTGAGGAGGAGGAGGCAAGAGGAAGAGAGGAGAGGAGAATAGATAAGAACACAGGAGGAGGTGAGTGGGGGATGAGGAGAGGAGGTGGGGGGTGGCCGCAGCGTCCCCTCTTACTAACCCCCTTTTACGAAAGGGGGGGTTGAGTGGGGGATGAGGAGAAGAGGTGGGGGGGTGGCCGCAGCGTCCCCTCTTACTAACCCCCACATCCCCACCCCCAACCAACCACCCGCCCTCAACCTCAACCCCCATTTCAGTCGCCCCCTGGAACCGCACTCCCTCCACCCCTGTCTTCCTCCATACCTCTCCCAACCCACGATGGTCCCTGTACAGTCTTTCACAGGTGGGCTGCTGGGCACAGGTGGGGCTGCTGGTCACAGGTGGGGCTGCTGGTCACAGGTGGGGCTGCTGGTCACAGGTGGGGCTGCTGGTCACAGGTGGGGCTGCTGGTCACAAGTGGGGCTGCTGGTCACAGGTAGGGCTGCTGGTCACAGGTGGGGCTGCTGGTCACAGGTGGGGCTGCTGGTCACAGGTGGGGCTGCTGGTCACAGGTGGGGCTGCTGGTCATAGGTGGGGCTGCTGGTCACAGGTGGGGCTGCTGGTCACAGGTGGGGCTGCTGGTCACAGGTGGGGTTGCTGGTGCTGGTGCTGGCGGCTGGCGCTGGTGCTGGTTCCTGGTGCTGGCAGCTGGCACTGGGGCTGGTTCCTGATGCTGGCGGCTGGCGCTGGGGCTGGTTCCTGGTGCTGGCGGCTGGCGCTGGTGCTGGTTCCTGGTGCTGGCGGCTGGCACTGGGGCTGGTTCCTGGTGCTGGCGGCCGGCGCTGGGGCTGGTTCCTGGTGCTGGCGACTGGCGCTGGGGCTGGTTCCTGGTGCTGGCGACTGGCGCTGGGGCTGGTCCTGGTGCTGGCGGCTGGCGCTGGGGCTGGTTCCTGGTGCTGGCGGCTGGCGTTGGGGCTGGTTCCTGGTGCTGGCGGCTGGCGCTGGGGCTGGTTCCTGGTGCTGGCGGCTGGCGCTGGTGCTGGTTCCTGGTGCTGGCGGCTGGCGCTGGTGCTGTTCCGCCACCACTCCCTTCCCCTCCTCTCTCTCCTTTCCACAGCGTCCCACTGCCACTCCCTTCCCCTCCTCCCTCTCCTCCCCATGGCGACCGCCGCTGCACACGCAAACAGTCGCGACGGGGGGGGGGGGGGGGGTGACGGGCAGGGGGCGGGGGGAATGCGACGGGCAGAGCGGGCGAATGAGCGGCTGGGGCGATCGCCAGTGCTCTGGCGATCGTCGCTGGCGTTCCCCCGTCACTCCTATCCCCTCTTCCCTCTCGCCCCCACAGAGTTCCGCCGCCACTCCCATCCCTTCTTCCCTCTCCCCCCCACAGCGACCGCCGGTGCGACGGGCGAGGTGCAAGGTGGCGCTGGCTGCAGTCGATGGCGCAAACGCGATCGCGGGCCGCTGGCGACTTCGCTGGCGGGTCGCTGGCGGCGGGTCCGCTGGCGTTCGCCATAGCGTCCGCCGCGCCCGTCGCGCTGAGAGCCGCGACGAGGCAGGCGACGGGGGGCAGCGCGAGCAGCAGGGAAAAAAAAAAAGATACGCAAGGTGCGGATTTCGCGCCACTAACTGTAGCAGTCGCGAAATGTGGTGGGCCCATAAACGAAATAGGTCCTAGGACGGACCACTCTGTTACCATGTCACGAGACGAACTTAGCTAGGAACGGGTTTAACTAAGGGCCTAGGCTTAGTAGCCTAGGCCAAGCGGGTGTCGAGGGAGTTGTGCCAAGAGAGAATCGAGAATGTGTGTCTTCACTATAGGTTTGCAAGAACATATAGCAAAGAAACAAAGAGGTGCACCACCACAACAAAGAAACATAACTACACTAAAGCTAAAGCTACAGGCAGTTATAAACATATATATATCGCGACAGAAGCGGCCGCCGGGTTCTCCGCCTGTCTTCAAGGCGCGTTACGTGGCTCGAGGCTTCAGTTAGCGGCAGGGAGTTGACTACTTTCAGACCTTCTCTCCCACCCCGAAGATGACCACTCTTCGGGTGCTGCTGCACATAGCCGCTCAGCGCGACTACGAGCTTCACTCTCTTGACTTCAGCACAGCTTTCCTGCAGGGAAGCCTGCACGAGGAGATCTGGCTGCGCCGCCCACCTGGCTTCACTGGGTCGTTTCCTCCTGGTACCCAGTGGAGCCTCCGGCGGCCAGTCTACGGTCTCCGCCAGGCGACCCGTGAGTGGCACGACACACTGAGGACTACACTTGCGGCTCAAGGGTTTGCTCCGTCTACTGCCGACCCGTCGCTGTTTCTGCGCACCGACACCTCTTTGCCGCCGTTCTACATCCTCGTGTACGTCGACGACTTGGTCTTTGCCACTGCTGACACTGCTGGACTTGCCCACGTGAAGTCCGAGCTGCAGAAGAGACACACGTGCACAGACCTGGGTGAACTGCGCAGCTACCTTGGCTTGCAGATCACCCGGGACAGAGCACAGCGCACCATTACCCTGACTCAGTCACACATGGTGCAGCAGGTCCTTCAGCGCTTCGACTTCACGTACTCCTCGCCTCAGGCCACTCCTCTGTCTACTCGCCACTCGCTCTCAGCTCTGCCTTCGGATGAGTCCGTAGAGCCGAGTGGCCCGTACCCAGAGCTTGTTGGCTGCCTCATGTACCTGATGACCTGCACACGACCTGACCTAGCATACCCTCTTAGCATCTTGGCACGCTATGTTGCTCCTGGGAGACACCTCCCTGAGCACATGGCTGCAGCGAAGAGGGTGTTGCGCTACTTGTACAGTACGTCGGGCATGGGGCTAGTGCTTGGAGGGCGACGTCGAGTGGTCCTGACAGGTCACGCAGACGCTTCTTGGGCTGACGACCAGGCTACGCAGCGGTCGTCACAGGGTTACACCTTCAGCCTTGGCTCCGGCTCTGTTTCGTGGCGGTCTACCCGCTCGTCTTCTGTTCTCGGCTCCAGCTGTGAGGCTGAGATCTACGCGGGGGCCATGGCTGCACAGGAGCTACGCTGGCTCACCTACCTGCTGACTGACCTAGGAGAGCCGCCTCGTTCTCCTCCAGTTCTGTACGTAGACAACAAGGCCATGCTGGCCTTGTGTCGGGAGCACAGACTGGAGCACAGAACAAAGCACATTGCTCTTCGCTACTTCCTTGCTCGTGAGCTGCAGCAGCGTGGTCAGCTGCGCCTTGCTTACGTGGCCTCTGAGGCCAACACTGCTGATATCTTTACCAAGGCACTTCCGCCTTGTGATCATCAGCGCTTCTGTACGATGCTAGGTCTTGTGCCTACTTGGCCTCACTTGCTCACTTCTTGACCTTGCTTGTACTGTGATCTTTCTATACCTGCACTTGCTTGTTTACCTTTATATATGATCTTGCATGTGAACTGGCCTTGTGGCCTTGCTCTTGTGCTCGGACTGTGTGGTGACGTTGTGATCCACCCTGAGCTTGTTTTGCTTTGCTTGACTGGTCTTGTGACCTCTTGTTCTCCCCCACTTTGCCTATGGGGGTGTGTCAAACTCATATGCTATAGTCTGTGTAGGCTGTAGTGGGGTAGACAATATGGGGTACAACACTTTTAGGTTTTCCTACTTGTACCCACCTGCTTGCTAGTTCATTCATTCCTTGTTCTTTCACATTCTGCTCCGACAAAAGCGGGCTGGGTGAAACAGCACGTGAAAAAATCGGGGCGCCGCACGGACAACATTGGTGCAGTTCGCTGGTTTCTCCTGACCCGGGCGTCTACACGAGGTGACGTCGCAGCGGCGAAGCAGGGACCGGGAGCTGTGGAGTTTAGTGGCGCGAAGTTTGCGGTGGGCTGCAAAACGGTTGGGCGACAGTTCCTTTTAAATAAGGGTCTCCGACTCCGATAGTTTTTGCCCCTCCACCGTAGACGGGTTCGCGCGGGCAACACCGACTATACCCCATCCGACAAAAGCGGACGCTGGGTGAACGGCGGGAAGCGGAATTGTCGGGGGGTGAAACGACCATAAAATCATGAAGCTGCGGGTATTTCTTCGCTTCTTGGAGTGCGGTTGAGTCGTTGGGGGACTTCGCCTGAAGGGCACTTTTCGAAGTTGCCTGGCAAGAAACACAGCGGCAAGGAGACCTAGGACCCCCGGTGTTTAAACGCACACCTCGGGAAATTCTTCAGAAAATAGTGCCTCAGAATCACGATGAGGGAGACCTAGATTGCCTGGGTGCTCTTTTCCTATGGCCATTCTATACGTCGATGAAACTTCTTGACGAACACAAAGTACGTCTTTCCTCACTTCTTCGCCCCCCATCCATCCTCTACCAAACTTTGCATACATCCCACAGACGATATCCATCGTGCTGCGTTACATGACTCCGTTGTATTCTTAGAGATTTTGAGTTTCATCTTCCAATGCAGTTGCTTGCTTCTATCCGTCGCTTGTTGCTATGCAAAATTGGGCTTCCTATATCTACCACATACCATTCATACTCATCGTTGCAGATCATACGTGAGCTACCTATACCCACTGTATACCCATTCATACCCATTCTTACTCATCCTTGCAGATCACTATCTTTCAATCAGCTCAGTGGCACGATTCCTCTTGCGATTGCCAACCTTGCAAAACTGGAAACTCTGTAAGCCCCTGGCCATAACTTTGCTTGGCTGTACTCCAGGTCCTTCTCCCTCCGTTTCTCTCTTCACACAGCTCTCCACATCATCCATCCTTTCCTCCTAATGACTTTCTGTTTTGTTTTGGTGTACCAGATCTTGGTTTTGCCTCTTTCCTCCCCTCTCCCACTGCTCTCTTGCCCGTGCTCATTCTATGCATGCCTGACATGCCTTCTCTGACAAAACAAATTCGTCTTCCTCATCCATCTCTAGCCACTATCAACATCTCGGGTCGAATCGACCCGCCACCGGAGATTGAAACTCCCGCCTTTAACAGGCCGGGTCGGGTCGGCAAGTTCGATTTTCATTCCCGGGGCGGGTCAACGACAAATTTCAACCTCTTAAAGGAGGTCGCTCGACCCAAGTGTCAAAAGCGAGCAATGAAGTAGTCGCGGGTAGTAACATTACTCAGGGGTAGTGCTCCCCTGCAAGTAACAGACTACTCACTTTCTAGAAAGAGTAAATAACGAGTTCTCGATTAACCAGGTTGTTGTCCTCTCTACTCTCCATCGTTTCTCCCGCTTTTGATGCTACTCTAACCCATGCACTTTATTTTCCGCTCTTCCTTCTTATCCACTCGCATTGGAGCCTACTGTATCTACTCTACATGCCTGTTTATGCCCATCATTGCAGATCGTTTCAAAACAATAAACTCACCGGCACAATTCCTGGTGCAATATGCGATCTCACAAACCTGCAATTCCCGTAAGGCATGAGCAAGTACTGGGCTTGAATCTGGTCGAAACGGTAGGCGTAGTCGAACCAAACTACTTTTCTATCGGTTGAACCAGCCTGACCAGCTCACTGTTCGATTGACGTTTAAGTCCTCCGTTTCGAACGTGATGGGCTTCTGCATGTAAAACAGATAGTTCATAGATAAAGAGGCCTTACTCGGATCGTGGCGAATTTGTTTGCCTTAAAAGGTTCCGAATCTGGTTCTATGCTCGTTTCTACCTGTGAGCCCCTGTGCAACGTCTTTGCATCCTGGCCACTTCACTCTCCTCCCCCGCTCTCTCGTTTCCTTTTTGTTAGTGAAAAAAAATAGATTCTGAGCTTGTCGGCTGATGAAGACAGATCTTGGGTTCTCCTTGTGAATCCCAAGTCGACTTACGTAGGGTCTCAGCTCCTTTATTTCTTATCCATTGGGCAGGGGTATCGTGAGAACCCCAAACTCAAGAGATATACCAGGAGATGCCGCAGATGGAAGGAGGAGGTAGGAGAGAGATCACGTTTCAGCGAGGAGGGAAGGGGATAGTGGCAAGACGAATGACGAGGGCGCACCTGTTTGCAACATGCCAAGCCGTGATAGTGGTGGTGTAGGTGCTAAGACGCGAGGTGCGGGTAGTGAGCGTCTCCTGGTATGCGGGGTGGCGACCAACAGCAGCATCATAGGAGCAGGTGCTCAGTGGCTGGCCCAGGTGCTCGGTGAGACTGCTTTGGTACCTTTGTCGAGTCTTGACGATTGGCGTGAAAGTGGGGGGGGATTGCCAGGAGAGAAAGCTTCGGTATCAGGAGGGTCGGGAGCAGATCTATTAGGGGCGGTGGGCTTGACGGGCGGAAGGCCATCCTCCTCCTGAAAGACGAGTGCACGAAGATGAGAGGAGGACTTTGACGGGCTGAACATAGGAGTGCCAATTGGCGGCTGTGTTGTCGGGTAGTAATTCAAGAGCGTCGACGGCTGCGAGATCGACCAACGAGTCAGACGATTCCATAGTGACAAGCGGGCAGGGCAGGCAGGGACTGGCGGAGCAGGCCGGGCAGAGTGCAAACGGGTAGGCCAGGGCATGAACAGGCATGGCAGGGCGCCGATGGGCAGGGCAGGGACGGACGGGCAGGG